AAATAAAGCAAAGAAAGATTGCATATTCTTTGCCAATCTCAGAATCAACTTCAGAATCAAGTTCAGTATACTAAAAACAAGGTTTTAAAGTCCTTTTTTCTGGGGTATCAGCAGAACATAAAATCAACACAGGAAACAGCCCCAAGGAGGCCAATCAGGCTGGTTTGTATGTTTAGAAGAGACTGAAGACAGCCTCTGATCAATGGTTTATTTTCTTGGCATGGCAGGGTGTGCTGTCTCTCAGGTCTGGGCTCATCAACTGTCTAACTCCCAACAGGTGTCCCTCTTTGTTTTGAAAATACTGTCTGGCCTCAAACAACAACAAAACATTCCTCTGGTCACCCCAGTGTCAGCTGAAGATGGGGCGGCCATGTTGTTTTATAACATAGTCTGAAGCATCTGTCAATCACTTGTAGAGAGGACAAGGATAGGCAATTAATTAGACAGAAAACATCAATATACAATTTGTAGAGTTCCTAAGAACTTTGTCTGTGATTTCTTTTAAGCTTTGATTTTGACCTGGAAATCTCTAAGAGTCAAAAGACTTTGAGTTATACGGACAATGATATTGTTTCAACATAAGGCCACAGCAAGTAAATCTTATGGATGACATCCTCCGTAGATTCCAAATCTAATGCGTGCGGGCGAAAAAAAAACAAGGCGGGCCGAAAAAAACAAGATTCCTACATTTTTAAATTTTGACTCAATCATTGTACAAATGGTTTTGATTCAGTGGGAACATCACATATACACAGCCAACATCACATATCTCTGCATCAAAGTAAGAAACAAAACATTAAATCAGAGCCTTTTCTTGTCTCCTCCCTTCATAGTTATCTGCCATCCACCTTCCGGCATGGCAACAGACATCTTTGCCCATTTTCGGCATATTGACCACTGTCAGAAGGCAACAAAATTTCTTGTTTTTTTTTCCAAAATCAGGCAAAAATTAATGCGCGCAGTGATGTCATCCATAAAATTTACTTGCTGTGGCCTAATCAATCTTATTTGTATTACTGAATGTCATCCTTCTTTGTCTCTTATACACTCGTTACTCTATATACTGGATCCATTTGGAAATAAACTTTATAAGTTTGATAGGCTGCCTGGTTTCGTTATGACGAAATAAATAGATATGAGTAAAGAACAGAATTTTTTCATTGCACCTCTGCTTGGGGAGTAACATAGTGCATGTGGCTGACTGTCTGTCTCAAAACTTGGCTCAGCTCTGCTGACTTTATGTCCTCTCCAAGCCCAAGCAGTATTTCTGACAACCACACCCTTTCAAAAGGCCAAAGGCAACAGAATTGAAGGTTGCCAACTCATACAGTGCTGCCCTTATCCACAAGATGGTGGTGACTGATAGTGTAGTGATTTCTTGGCTGCCCTGCAAATATATATCTCTCCATCGTTTCTCCTCCATTGCTCACAGCAGTGTTATGATTGATGACGGCAAGTGTGAAGTACATCCTAATTCCGAGCGCCCCCCCCCCTTCTAGGGCTGTTGCCAGCTCTAGATGTCTACCCATCATCACAGTATGCCCATGATCACATCCCAACAAAATTTGATCCAGGGTACCTTTCAATCACATGACAACGATGAAATGGCCATAATTTCTGTAGGTCAAGATCTAGAGCAATATGTCAAGTCAAAGGAGAGATGGAAGCCTCTGATAGGGCGGTTTCGTATTATTTACCACAGGAACCTGATATTTATATTTCAACTAACGAACCACCACGATAAAACTGGTAGTTAAGTCTGTAATGTCAAGTGCCTATTTCACATTCTAAGGCAAGTTCATATCATTCTTGGAACTATTAATATTTGTAGAGCGATAATCCACATGTCTATCTGCTTTGCCTTGGGGAAGCAGTGAGGAAAACTGGTTACTAGTATCATGAAAGCATGATGCTCGATCTAGTGTCATACTTTGACATACTCTGACCAAGACAACTCAACCTTAACCTTTGGCATACCGAAGAAGCCATTAGGCTACCAATTCTCTTTTGGTTATACGGTTAGGCAGCAGGGAGAAGGTTAATCCATCCATCCAACAGAAGTTCTGTGGTCTTATTTTTTACCCACAATGCCTCACCACCTATTCTGAAAAGCTGCCATAAAACAACAGCCTTTATCACATTTCTTCAACTTTTTAAGCCATAGTTTTCTATCATGTAGCATAAAATAACTCTTGACCCAGTCATAAAACTGATATGTCCTTGTAGCATAACCTCAAATACTAACACTCCTAAATATAAAACATATCAAAGTGGACAGTCAAGCCGGTCTGATCACACGGCTATCATTTTTCAAGTTAGCACCCAGTAATAAACATTATTTATTGCCGATGTTACTGCTCAAAGTTTGTGTGACATCTCTTTTTTCATGCTTCGAAGATGAGTTAGTTCTTAAAGTTTGTAGCCCAACATTTCCACAAAAAGTTTCTTGTGAATATGAGTTAATGTTAGTAATAACTCAGTGTGACAAAGAAGTTTGAAAAGATAATTTTCCACTTTTTGTATGCCTCTGCCTGCCGAAAGAATGTATGAGAAATTCTGTGCCTTTTTGCCATCCAAATCAATCCATAAACAAGAAGCCATAGGCGACAATTCTCCGTGAAGTATTATATATTGCAACAAAAAGAAGTAGCCATTGGCGACAATTCTCTGTGAAGTGTGATAAATCGAACAAAGAAAAATTGTTTAAACGCGCGTCGGCTCAGTCATCTTAAGACGCAACAACCAATCAGAGATGCGAGATGCCTACACGTGACGCGGGAAGGGCGCGCGATGCCCGAAATATTTTTGCGTCAATATTCAGCGCCGTGATTCAAGAGATTAATACCCGGAAACAATTTTTTTCTTGTTTTGAACGCATTAACATGCATTTACGCTAATCTAGTATGATTCAGGGTTACTTTTTTTTAACCTGCCATGGCCAGATTATCTAAAGATGTGTGTATTGTGTGTACAATCTATAGAAAGAGAAATGTACATCAGGTCCGATCATCCGATTTTCACGTTTCGGTTTTTTGGACTCGGTTCATGAACGTATTTTGGTTTGGCTCCTGGAATGTGCAAAAAAATGACTCCCGGGACTGTCTACAGGGAACACTCGCACATTCGCGGTGTATCAGGACAGCGCGACTGGTCGTCATTAGCGCAGTAACAGTTGCATAAACGGACGAAACCATTTCAAAGAAATGGGGATGTTTCGAAAATAAGCATTTACTCCAATATCAAAACAGCTACGGTAAAAATAAAAAGACGTGCATCATCCCGGACATAATGCAACACCACATGCGAAATTACACAGAAATGCGACGTACGGAAGAATGCGTTTTGGCTGCGAACATCTTCCAAAAAACTTGGCATCTCTTAACCATGGGCAAAAACATCTGGAACCACTTATAAAAACCACCCCGTATCTGCATGAACTTTTTTGAACCCCACTGCTATTCCAAACAACGCGTTTTTCTGGACCATTCCAATTCGCCTCGTAATTGTAGGGGTGCGTCTGCGATATTACATTGACCGCGAAAGCAGCAACGGCAAAAATACACATTCGTGCATCAACACGGGCATGCCCGCAGACGGCGTATAAAATTGCGTGCCGATTACACAAAGAGAACCCAGTGTTTTGACTGCGAACATGAAAAATCAGCCGATTACAACACTCCGTCCGGAGGTCCTGACCTCCTTCACGGAGTAACAATGGTTTCTATCATTTCCTGCTGTGGTTTATGTTTAAGTACCATACCCTGACAGGTGATTGTGACTTACTGCTCCGCTAATTTGAATAGGGAGGTTTCCATTTCCTTCATCATACACACGTGCACTTTTACAGCCATCAAACAATTTAACGAGCAGGCATCACTTGATATTTTACGAGTAAATGAGGACTATTAACTAATCCTTTTGCCCTGAAAGATCTCAGATAATGGAAAATCTTTAACACAAAGCTCCTGTGTGATGCCCTCTGGCCTAAAGTGTGGCACCAGCTATATATGGCAAGGGGTGGCATTCGAGGCATGGGGATTGGAAGCCGTGGTTGGATTGACTGGGAAAACACCCCGCAAATGATGAGTTTCTCCGCAAATATTTGTGTTTGTCTTCCCTTGCTGTGAGGAGCATCCCTTACGTGACAGTTATTTCTGTTGGGGGAAGGAGCCTATTTCCCTGTATCCTGGGACCCTGGTGAGGTACATACACCAGTGCTACCAAAGCACCTGCTCACAATTATAAACCGAAATTGCAGCACTTCAAACCAAACACAGAGCAAATTATGTCTGGGAAACGGAGGTGTCAAAGAAACACTCCTCTTCAACATTGGAAGCAAAGCAGCGTTCCTTGTTTAAACACAGAAATACCTTGTCCTAATTCCGGTCCGTCAAGTGGCCACAGGAATGGTAAACTTCCTAGCAATGGTCGCAGGCTGCGCTGTAGCAAATCCAAATAAACTTTAAATAAAGCTGTCTTTCTGTTTGAGAGCTTCCAGACTGCGGTGGATTCAGGAAAGAAGCGGTCTGCCAGAAACGTCTACAAATAAGGCAAAAACGGGGAGCCCCTCTTCCAAGACATACAAGTAGATAAGGGTGGATTACCCATCTCTGTACCATGTCCACAGCACAATATCGGAAAAAAAAAACGTCAAAATATTCCCCTCAGTATGTCATCTACTAGTCCCTCCCAAAATCAGCAAGCTTGGCACATCCCATCCCAATAAAATGTTTAACTCTTATGTTACTTACCAGCAATATTTGCACTCTGTAAAACTGCCCATTGAGCGAGATCTAGCGGAGGTTTGGGGATGAGGACCAGGGTCGGGCACAGGTATGCGTCACTTGCCCTGGTTGGATCTTTGCGGGGAGAAAAATAATCCCCTGAGGCCAACGCCTGTCTGTACGGCTGTCAATTATCTGGGTATTTGAACTTGTGTAGGCACGCCAGACTTGGTCATAAAATCCCAACCCCCCTCTCACATCTATCTGTTGACTTACCATCTGGGACTGGCTCTTGGGCTTGGGGTTGATGTCTTGGATCTTCTCATTGGCTGAAACAGACAGTACCAAGACAGATTAGCCAGTGACATTGCTCCTCTCATCCCACCCAAACCTGCTGCGCTCTGATTGGTTAGCTGGGATCAAGTTATCCAGACAGACTGCTGTGATTGGTCGATGCAACTTGGGTTATCAATCTGTTCTCATCTTTGCTAATGGCTCATTTGGTTTCCTGCCTTGTCAACATACCACATAAGGGGCCTTGTAGGAGCTTTAGGAAAACATACAGACTTGCCCTTGTTGTTGACAAAACCTACTTTATGAGGCCTTCATGGACATAACTATTGGGTTAGGTAAACGTACCAATTATTCTTTAAGGCCAGAGGAAATCCCAGGCAAGTTGGCCTACAATGTCATCGTTGTGTGGTCTTGTTTGAAAAAGCTTTGCTATTTGGTTGCTAGTGAGCACTTAAAAGTTTTCTTCTGTGGTTTTAATTTCATAGCCTTGATACCATCCTGAAAGTTTACACTTGCTTCCGCTCCCATACTCATGACTCCCTTCATGATCATGAAGAGGACAAGTATGAAAGCGAGCATAAACTAACAATGAAAGTAACTGTGGTAGTATTTTGAAGCCAAAACTTTTTGTGCAAGATCTTGCAAAATGTCCAGAATCTTGAGAAGTATTCTTGAATGCACACATTTTATCCTTTTTTTGTGAAGTGCGAAAAGTGAAAACAAACAGGGCCCATTAGGGCCTACATGTTCACAAGTACCATTGGCCCTTGACAGATCGATGCCCCCTAGAGACTTACAACAGAACTGCAAAAACATTGGCCAGATTGGACAGGGCACCCTCTTGGGTTGGGCATGTCTCTGTTGGATTCCAAGTGACAGGAGGTTAATGAAACACCTGTGCATTGTCAGACTGCCAGGGATTTAATGCCATTCTTCTTTTTTTGTGACAAAATAGCTTTGAATGGCAGTTTTACTCCTCAAAGGGCTACTTTACCGGCCGACATCCAATCTTGTCAATTTTGTATGGACTATGAAGTTACTGAACGTGGTCTCATAATATAGGAGCTACTCACCCACGACCTCTATGATGGTGGCCAATAGAACACCGTCAGTTATGTCTTTCTGAAGGTCACGGACCAGCCGCTTATGCCCCGCCCTCTCCAGGTAGTGGTTCGCCCAATCTGTGTAGATCTGTCAAGATAGAAACACAAAACGGTAAATAAAAATAGAAAACAATATAATTATGGACAAGATACAAGCAAAGAATTATAACATCAGATAATTAATTGTCTTGGCAAAAACAGAGCCAGCAAATGTAACTCTAAACCATCATCAACTATCTTTAAATGAATATTAGATTTTGATGCTGCAATAATAACACAAAAAGAAAGGAGGCGCTGTTGCTAATACGTGTTTGCCATTCTGTTCATAGATTAGACCAAGGACATTATACACAGTGTATAATGTCCTTAATTAGACTAAAGCATTTGATGAGTGGAATTATGTCATGCTTTGTTGTGTTGTGTTGCTTTGTGTTGTGTGTGTGTGTTATTGTGACAAGTAGGTTTTATCTATGATACGATAAATAGACTAGTGTATAAAAGTTCAAGGCAGAAGAATCTACAGTATTCAATAGATTCAAAGCAAGAAGGGTCCCAGGTAAATATTTGTAGTACCACCTTAATTAGCCTTGAACAAAATTCACAGTTAATTTAGTACCCACTAAAATTGTAATTTAACTCTTAAATGATAAATATGTGTCATAATACATAATGCTGACCTGACATACTCTGAGTGAATACATTAGCATGATAAATAATATCATTTTAATAAAGGTTAAGAAAATGAACCCGTGGGAACAAAGAATATTCAACATTGTTGTCACCTTTTCATTTAGAAATCACTATGGAAATATGAATTTCTTTATCTTCATGTTGAATCATGATACGATTTTATTGCCTTTTTCCGCTGAGAAAATGTTTGGACCATCCTATATTGAGTCCAAAGAGGGAGGTCGATGCAAGGTCATAGAAGGTCATAATCAATACCTGAGGTCATGTCATGTGACCTAATTTCTTCCACCCTCAATACATATATTTCAAAAGGTGAGGTTGATCAGAAAGCATCTCTTGTTCTTAACACAGTATTTCTGTACCTTGTGTGGTTCTCTTCTTTTTTATTGTAAATGCATATAAAAGATCAGAGATCTACTGTGTATCATTCTATGTATGTGTCTTTAACCTTCAATAATTTTGATCACTTTTGGGGAAGAAAGCAAAGTAAACAACCATTACAAAAACAAGCCTTCTTGATCAATCAATCTCAAGTTTAATCAAGCTGCAATTTTATCTCAAATGAATTTGAAAAATAGCTTCCCTGAAATGATTTGACAGGTATAATTTCACAGCATGAAACGTCATTAAACCTAACCACACCCTAAACAAAATGAAGTGTCATGTAGTGTTCTGACTGTGCTGACATTGGTATTCCCAGCAAAATCCTTGTCTTGCACGTCTGCAAATAGACCAAACTAATAACACACCTTGACATGCATCATACAGTGACAAGTTGGGGTTATTGAAAAGACTATTAGTTCCTCCCTATACTTGTAATAGACAATATTGAAATCACAGGGATTGAAATGCCTTTTTCCTCTGACTGTAACATTTCAAGTTATCTGCAAATTAAATCAGATAATTTTCTACAAATGCCCTAGCAACTGTCTCTGGCCTACTACAGACGTTTTAGATGGACTTAACATCTTGCTTTAGCTCTGTATATATATATTGTAATAGCTACTAGGAATCTGGGCTTTTGTATGGTACTGCATAGCTATTGTATGGTACTGCATAGCTATTGTATGGAACTGCATAGCTACAGTATGGAACTACATTGTATATAGCTACTGTATAGAACTGCATAGCTACTGCATAGCTACTGTATGGAACTACATAGCTACTGTATATAACTGCATAGCTACTGTATGGAACTACATAGCTACTGTATATAACTGCATAGCTACTGTATGGAACTACATAGCTACTGTATAGAACTGCATAGCTACTGCATAGCTACTGTATGGTACTGTATAGCTACTGTATGGTACTGTATAGCTACTGTATGGTACTGTATAGCTATTGTATGGCACTGTACAGCTACTGTATGATACTGCATTTCTACAGTTTATCAAACTGTAGTTCAAAATGTCAAGTATGACTTTTTTCTAGCCTTCAACATTGCAAGTTACAAGCTGAATTCTTTCCTACAGATTGCAGGTGTTACTTTCCATCCCTGTGGACACACAAGGTGACATTGAAACTTCGTCATCAGATGCCTTCTCCAGCAGTCCCTGTCACCTTGAAATTCCATTCCCACCGAAGGAGACATGGTTTACGTGCAAAACACAATGTCTTCCCCTGCCCTGTATATTTACCTTTTAACCAGACCTGTCTTGGAACATTTCCCAATATTTGACAACAGCATACAAAAAAGTATACACAGTATTTGAGTATATATGTGCACTTGAAATGTTAACCATACATAAAAAAGAAGGGGCAGATACAAATGACTACTGTATTCTACGCTTTAATCTCAAATTCTATATGAAAACTGTCTTCCCTTGTATTGAAAAAAAAACACTTAGATTCAATATTATCCTTCGCTCTAGGTCTTTAAAATTAAGATGTCTACAGAAATATTTAAGACCTGTAGAAAGAGATCTTTGAACTCTGCTATTTGAAATTCCTGACTTCTGGAAACCTTCACCCTTATTTACAGTACATGTTGCTCTTTTGTACGACTCTGTCAGCACCGTGCCATTTTGTCAGACAGAGTGAAAGATGTGGGAATGACAATGTGAAGTGTCGGGATGGTATGTGACACGGGACATTACAAACATTCCATGGCAGACTGTCAGACTGGTGTCACCTTCACTACATCCTTTCTTACACCTTTCTTACACCTTCAGCCTCCTTCCCAAACTTAAGATCACTTAAAGACTTTGTTGGCACAATGACCTTTGGGTGCTTCTTTTAGGTGGTGCCAAATTACAACTCACACGTTATCATATTTAGTGACATTGTATTACTTATCGCAGGGTGAACGTAGCACACTTACTGACATTGTATACTATAAACGGAAATACATACCATATGTCCTACAATGATTGTGAGCTTGATAACTTTTATCCTATCCACAAACTTTTAATGCACTAAATTAGTATTAAATACAAAGTATCTTGTACAACAGGTTGTTCCAATCTAGATGATAACTCCTGATTTCTTTCCAGAAGTTAGAATTAACAACCCAAATACATACTGAAAGCTGTAGAATGATTGTAACTTTTATTATATCCACAAACTTTTAATGCACAAAATTAGTATGAAACACAATGTACAACAGGTTGTTCCAATCAAGACGATGACTCCTGATTTCTTTCCAGAAGCCAAAAGCTGCCACAAATCAACTGGCGCCAGGTTTGATTCCTAATCAGCTCTTTGCTCTACCAGGAAAAATCAGGAAACGAAGGGTAGGTATTAGTTACTATTACATATCCCAGTTAACAACACCACTTTGTTGATGTAATAATTGGTGGGATTTCTTACAGGGGTCAGGCAACCTATGCTGACCTCCACTCCCCTCACACAATATCACGGATTTCATGTTAGGCCACAGCAAGTAATTGTTATGGATTACATCAGCGATCGCATTAATTTTCACCCGATTTTGTTGCCTTCTGACAGTGGTGACCATGCCAAAAATGGGCAAAGATGTCTGTTGCCATGCCGGAGGGTGGATGGCAGATAACTATAAAGAGAGGAGACAAGAAAAGGCTCTGATTTAATGTTTTGTTTCTTACTTTGATGCAGTAATATGTGATGTTGGCTGTGTATATGTGATGTTCCCACTGAATCAAAACCATTTGTACAATTAATGATTAAGTCAAAATTTTAAAATGTAGGAACCTTTTTTTTTCGGCCTGCCTTGTATCTTTTTTTCGCCCGCTCGCATTACATTTGGAGTCTGCATCATCCATAAAATTTACTTGCTGTGGCCTTGAGTTTGATGGGGGTAAGAAACGTTCTCTGCTCTTTGAAGAGGAGGAAATCCGCCAGCTTTTAAGGTCTCGAGGGTGAACGTGATATGACTTCTGACAGGTCAAGCGGTAGGTCCGCACTTGGCTTTGATCTTAAAGGAGTTATAGGGGACTTCCCGGATGCCCCAGGAAGATGATCAGCCGAATCTAAAATGTTTAAGCGTGGATAAAATGTTTAAGGGGTCAGGGAGGAAGGTTGGAGGTACAATAATTAATCACTAGGGAAGCGAGAAGTTTACCTACATGTAAGGACATATTTCTTACTTACACATGTTATCCTTACTTAACTTGTAAGGATATATTTCATACTTACACACAGACAAGTAATAATGGTTTTAATGATGTACCTTTAAACAAAGTAAAATAAATACACACCTTTAACTACATTTCTTATACCTATTGACATTTCAAAGGAAAATAATGGGCAGTTTTAAATTATGATCACTCTCACAAGTACACAGATTGAATATCAAAGGAAACCTTTATTTCATTGTCGCCTTCTAGAATTGCACCATTGTTTCCTTCAACACTGGTCAGGGTTCTGCTTAGCTCTAGTTTTTTTTTCATCATTTCAATTTTAGCTGCAAACACAAACTTATATTCCAGTAAAATTGTAACTAATTTCTACATTTTCTATACTACAAGACGCTAATTTTTGTATGTCAAAATGGCCAATTACCTAGAATTTTTCCCTCATGAGTAGTTAAGTTCTTTCAAAAGGCATAACCTTACCTCTGATCTTTCCTATGTACATAATTGTCTCAGGCTCTTTATAATTCATATCCAGCCTCAGACCACAATTAGTGGGCAGTATTCTCACATGTCCATCAGCAGGGGTCAAGCGAGGTCAGCCCACAGGAAGTGGCCCTCCTGCTCACCTGTTGTAGAGCTGTACGTTCGCACATTAGAGCAATTACCTACAGCTGTGCACCGAAACCTACCGCAGGGGAAGTTAATGCAATGTGAACTTCACGCATGCTAAGAGGATATTCCGAGGAAGAGCTAAACCTGAAACAGTGTTATGCTGCTAATTATCCAATTACTATTGGGCTATGCAGTGTATGACAGAAGTTAGAATGCACATAGAGTTCTCCTT